AAAAATTCTAAAACCCCTTGACCACGTGTTTCAGTGCAAACAAGTTCAAATGAGCCAGCCAGCCTGTCAGTCAATCAGGACATCAGTCTTCTACTAAGTCAATCAGTCTATCTGTTAGTTAGTCTGCAAGTCTGCCATTTAACCTGTCAGCAACTTAAAAGTCAGCCTGTTATACAAACAATTAGTCAGTCAGTCAGTCAGTCAATCAGGATGCAAGTTATCTACTAAGTTTGTAGTTCTGCCATTTAACCCTGTCACTAGCAATCGGTCAGTCAGCAAGTCATCCAGTACAGTTCAGTCAGCCCAACAGTTAATTATTTAGTCCATCAGTTAATCAGTCTTTCATCAACCAGTCACCCACCCAGTAAATGAACCATAAATTCAGTCAGTCAACCAGCCAGTTAAGGGAAAATATCACACAATTTACCAGGTATAAATCAATGCGTCTTACCATGATCAATTGGATATGGTTTAAGTCCATCCAGCTCAAACAGGCGGCCCTTGATGGGTACATAACTAACAAAGTGAAAAGCCTCCATAGCACGACCAGTTGACACAGCATTGGTTTTCTCAGGTAAAAGCTTTGGCTCAGGTCTGGGTTGAAAACACATTTAAAATGTTCATCAGGCCTTAGTCTTCTATCCACATAACACAAAAAGTTCTTTGGAATAGAAGGCAATTTATTTAATTATGAATAACCAATGATGCTGAACTTTATTGGTGTCCCGTTCCTTCAAAGACTCTTGTGACCAGCTAATATGGTTACTGTCTCTATGCCGAGTTAATGTGGTTTATTTTCAGTCAGAGATCACCTAAAATTTCAGACTAGTATGCAATTTGTTTCATGGAACTTTAACTTAGGGAAAATAAACTTTGCATTCACAAAATTCTTCAAGTTATGAGTCAAAGTCAAAGCCGAAGGCTGTATGTCACAGCCTATTCCCACAACACATACCATAGCCACAACATTGCATGTAACAATCATTTTAAGTGTTCCATCCTCAATACATACACAAGTAATTAACACTGACACAAAATTTAAAAAACCTAAACTTAAGGTTGAATGTAGTGTTTTGGAATTAACAGACTTGTGCATTTAGACTGACTGAAAATAATGTATAATTATAATACATGTACTGTATACATTACCTCTGGTTTAATAACTTACCTGGCAAACTTGTTATGTGCCATGGCCAGTTCTGGCAAGTTACCAATCACATATCCCTTGTTCTGGAAAAAAAACAAAACAAAACAAAAAACCCTGATGCAATTGAATCTCTATTAAAGAGTTATCGAACTGTACTATCAAACAGGATGACATCCCTCTGACTAACCAAGTTTAAGGTCTGTTCTGTATCAGCAACAGATCAAGTTTTTTTGCTTGGATTTTTGGCCCAAGTGCAAAGTGGGAAGAAAAGGAAAAAGGTTGTGAAACTTACAGTATGGACCAAGAAAATGAGGTTAGTAAGATATTTAGTGTATCTCTTGGTTCAAACAAAGGGCGGAGGGAGGGAGAAATTAAATTCAAAAAACACATTTCTTGTGTCGTACAGTAAAATATAGCCTATCATAGTGCACGTATTATCTGAGAGATATAATAAACTCAGATATTCCCCTGTTTAAGCTGGAGCATGTGAACTTTCAACTCCCAAATGAGCCAAAAATTATGATTGGTTTACACTCGAAGAGTATTCAATACCTACCTCTGGGTCAAATTTATTAGAAAACTCCTTCAGCCTGCTGAGAGTTTCACCCAGGTGAATATGAGTACAGTTAAGGAGGACACTCAGTAATGAGTGAGTTGCACATGAGTTTGGGATGACCTGGTAAAGAAAGAAGAAGTTAAAGCACAGTCATGTGAACTCTTTAACACCCAAGATCTCATAAGTAATTCTCCTTACTGTCTGCCAAATGTTTCTCATTACGTTAGTTTGGAGAATTTGGTATCAGATCAAGTAGTAATCCCATAATTGATATTTCTCTTTATTCTCATCACTTGTCTGCACGATATTGTATAGATAAAGTAAGGAGAAATTCTTTCTTGGTCACCTCTCATGGGAGTTAAAGGGTTAACCTTGATGAGAATACTCAAACACACAAAAGGAAGAATTAAAAATTGGATCTTGGGAGTTAAAGGTTTAAAATTTTGCTTAATACCTGCTGGGCAAAAAATATATCTCGGATGGTCTCCTCATCCTCCACAAACATCTCCTCTAAGGGTTGAATTTTACGCCTTGATCTCCTCTCTTCGATCCACTTAAAAAGGAAAATGAATCCATAGACAGGCCTGGAACAGAAAGAACTAGCATTTAACTGATTTGAATCACACAGTATTCTCATCTGTTTGAGCTCCACACTGCTCAAAACCAAAAACATTTGATGGTATCCTTTGATACACAGAAGCCTATCAAGTTAGCTTTGGCTGGGGTGACTGTGTTGAGCCATGAGACAATAGTCCATTTTACAATTGCGCACTTGGTTGCCAAGCCAGGAGTGAGGCTAAGGGTGATATTGTTATGATACAGATGTTGCTACTTTTCAAATGTAAATTAATTTGTTATCATGCTTAATAAATACTAGTCTCTATCACAACAAGGTCACCTTCCCTCCTCACTCAAAATCAAAGGCTTGGCAACTAAGTACATAATTGTAAAATAACCTATTTTTCACCCTCACAGAGTTAAGAGTTAAGCAAACTATACAAAACCTGGCAAAATACAGGGAGGCTGCTAACCACCAGACTCTGAGAACCTACCAAAATACTGAGCTTAAGAAATAGTAACATCTTATCTAGTGGGAGCAGCCTCCAGCAGTCTCATGCATCTGAGCCAGCTACATGTTGCTTGTGCGTACACTATGTGAGTTTTTTTTTTTTTTTTTTTTTAGAAAAAAATGTATTGGTGAAAAACAACAAAAACAAAACATTCCTTGTACTGACCCTCTAAATGGCTTAGACAAATCATAAATCTCTTCCACCTGAGCTCCCTTGACACCTGAAAAAAGCCAAATATTAACAATTACTATCAATGAACACAACATCACAGATTCTGTACATGATGTATTTCAAAGCAAAGACTTCTTCTTTTTAGCCATAAATATTTTCTACAAAAGTGTGTAAAAAAGAAAAACAAATGTGAGCAAAATTTTTTATAGGCACTTGCACTTTAGCAAAGCAAGTACCAATTGATTGATTCCGGTTTCTATCCCCTTCTTTGTTTCGCTAGGTGACAGAAATTTTACTGCAGAGCACGATTTGATTGATCGACGGGTGAAATTAAACTAAGAGAGCCTGAGATATATTGATTTGGCTAAACTACAGTTTACAAGGTCACTTTAAACCATCCTCCAGATGAGCCATATGAACCACTAAATATATAGACCTAAGAATTAACTCGCATATAGATTATGCTCTTTCTTTCATTCACTGCGGAGCAAGACAAGCCACTGACTGAAAGCTTATATTCAGTATACGATTCTCGTTCTTTTATCCACTGCGGAGCCAAACGAACAACTAAATTTATGCTCCCTATGGCCCTGTATTATGAAGTTGCTCCATTACTTTGACTGAGATACAACGCGTTTTACATTTCATCGGAAGAAAAAAACTCTCCGACGTAAGCTTTCAAATTCCTCTGCGGCCGTTGAAGCAGCTAATGTAACAATGCTTCTGTCTTAATTCCAAGCGAGCAGAGCTGAGCACGATCGATATTTGTAAATCTTGGATTCAACAATGCAATTAACTACTTAAAAGGATCCCTGCAACAAGGGTCGCTAAAAATAGCGCTTTCACAAATGCACTTATTTATCAACGGTTAAAAGATAAGTTTTAACTTTTTTAAATCTTACCAAACTCCTCGATCAGCAAACTGAAGAGCCCTAAACAAAGCGAAGGTAGAGGTAGATTTCAGTAACTTTTTGTCCATTATACTACAGCTATTTATAGTTATGTTACAAATTACGAATAAAATCTATAAACGGAAATAAACGAATATTAAACCTGGGTCGCTCTCAAGTTCCAACCATCCACTGTTTACCGCCATATTTGAAACATCATTACAGTAAAGTCAGCGGACTGCTACATTTGAGAATAACTATTCGTGTAATGTTGCTGGAAAGCGATGGCGCTTGCACGGGGTACCAAGTTCACCTTGTTCTGGATCGCGCCGTTTATTTTGCGCCGTGTGCCTGTCGTTTCTCAGTGCCCCCTTTTTGGAGCGTTTCGACTGAGTAGGAATCTGGCATGGGCTAGTAGGCAGATTTCATAATCAATAACAAGAATGCTGGTATAAGCAGCGTTTTTACTGTGCCAAACTATCAAACGCCTCAATGTACTCAATTCAAATTTTCAGGCCGCTTGATAAATGCAGGAGTTCATTACTGACAATTAGCCTCTGATAAATTCTAACTGAGGGACCAGTCTATTTATCATCGGGTAGGAGGGTGAGGAGCAGAATAATTTTGTGCGGGAACAGAGAGGGAATCAGTCGTCGTTGACAGAGTATAAAAAAGGGGGGGGATATGAGTGCCAATTAACTGTTAATGAAGGGGGGATCATCGGAATATAAGAAATCCTTATGGGGAGGATCAGGATCAGATATTTCAATCGTGACACCTCCCCCCCCCCGGCAGTGCACAATAACCGGTCACGGAACAATGCAATTTGCATGGAAATCGAGAAACGACCAATTTCGGAAAGAGTGCACAGATTGGATCGAGTGTTAAAATTCAATCCATCGATTAGTGTACGGTTCGATGAGCAACGACAAACATTAAGGTTAGGGTCGAGGGGAAAATAATTCACAAGCCCACGTGTGCTTGGTATGGAACTATCATCAGTCTATTGTCAAAGTACTTGATTAAACTTCATGCAAGATTTTCCTTCCGCGCAAAAAGATATATACATGTTTACCATTTTCATTCGTAGCCATTTTAATTATTATGCAAAAATGGAAACTGTTTAAAACAAGTCACGCAAGCAACATATCATAAACACGCAATTAGAAAGGTTGCATCAAATGAATAACTCCTTACTAAAATGAAATCCTCACCTTGATCGCGCCCGTGCACGATTTCGGAGATGGGCACATCGCCCGTCACATCGTCACCGTAGCTCAGAAGAAAATTAAGAGTTTGATCCAATTACGGGATACATATTTATAAATTAACTTTTTGTCGACAAAAGCTGTTTATTCATAATCATGAGCGCATGTTTATTCTTGTTTGATAAGCAGTATATTACCTCGTCATCACATCATCTAACTGAATTCGTGCGCTGTTTGTTCAGATCTTTAGTTTGTTTTTGAGACCAGCGATCGAGTAAAAATTGCCCTCACAACACTGACAAAAAACTTAGAGATGAAAGTCCTAGCAGCTTTACTGTTGCTCTCCGTGGCTCTTTGTTTCACAACAAGTGCATCAGGTATAGCTGATAGACTTTGGTGGAAAAAGATTCAGATGTTTTTGCTACCCTTAGAGATTTTTGTTGACGATGATCATGAGAGCTCATTCGTGTAAACGGTGGCTCGAAAGTCTTCGCTGTTCTAAAATTACTTAACGCTGGCGATAAGTTGTTGTTGTTGCTTTTTTTCTTTTAAGGTTTAGAGTTTTAAGATTTCTAAGATAGTAACTGACTCGATGAAATCAACCAGAGGGTGTTGCGTGTCGTTCGCTTTTCCATACTTTTGAAATTGTTTACCTGGATAACCTTAGTTTGCTGAGGTGCCCAAAATTACTCACTTAAGTCGATATAAAAGGAATTAAGTTGCTTTCAACCAATCTTGAATCATTTAATATTTTTATATCTAGCTTTGCCAAGGAGTTCCAAACAAGATCCTCGTGGGATACTTGAAAACATCGAAAATGCGTTTGGTAAGTTTAACAAGAAACGAGGGTAATGATAACTTAGGAAGTTCAACATGTTTTCGCTGTTTTCAGTTCTTAACTTCGAGTTGGTTTGAGAAGCAACCTTTTTCGGGGGCAAAATTAGCTGCATGCATGTTCGCAGGCATTATAAACGGCATAAATTTTTTTTTCATGCGATTTTTCAATCGTTTTATTCTACATTTTCGTTTGCGATTTTATAGCCTAAGAGTACCCACCCCCACCTCCTCCCCACTGGCAAAAAACGGGAGGGTACGTCGCCCGAGGTAATTGTTATTATGTCAAGCATTTTTTTCACGAGCCTCTTGCAGGAAAGACTGGTCAACCCCCCCTTCCACCCCCCTCCTCTCCCCGATGTCTCGCTTCGTTATCATCCGTTATCATTTATATGTAGTTAAATTGCACGTTTTTGATTCGTTCCCAGGCAACCCGTGCCCCAATAGTTGGACACGCTTTAACAACTACTGTTATCTAGTGAGCACCACCTCTACTTATTCTTGGTCCCAAGCTCAAGCGCATTGTCGCTCGCTAAGTGCAGATCTGGTCAAGATAAACAGTGTTGAAGAAAACGAGTTTGTCTTGAGTCTCGTCAGGAAATTGGCTCCGTCTCTGAAGCAAATCTGGATCGGATTGAAGTGGAATACAAACGGATTTTACTGGATTGATCTTTCAGTTCCGGTTTACAAGAATTGGGCCCCTCAGCATCCGAATGGCAACGCAAACGAACCATGCGTTCAAATGTGGATCAATAATGGACAACATCTGCCCAAGTACGCATCAGGCTACTGGAATGATATAGATTGTCATTACCGGTCAGATTTCCCTAACGGAATTGTCTGCAAGAAACTGCCTTAAATGACAATTTATCCCGTTAACAAAGTCTTAAGACTGTGTGACTGATTGATTGAGTATAAGTGATTGGGTGACCGAGTGACTGACTGACTTACTGACT